TACTTTTTGATCATACCATGTTTGATCCACCCACAGCACACAGTGTATCTAAGTCATCACCTCTGCTATACAAGACTAGTGACGGAATCATGTTTGCCAGCAGAAATACCAGATCAGCAACTTAGAGCTCACTCCTGCCTTCTAGAGGCTCATTTCAGTGTATTTGATAGCCCCAACCTAAGTCATATCCAGAACCAACCCTGGCTGCAAGGGAAACTGGAAAATACTTCTTTTAGCTTTCAATCTGTGACAGTAGAAGGATAAGTGTCTGTTGCCCGCTGCATGCTATAGCCAGCATACCTAGTTGGTCACAAATAGTAAAGAATTTAGGAAAATTACTATAATTGTTGACACTTTGGGACAAATAAGACAATATTTGCTTTATTTCTTTTTACTAAGTTCCATATTCTGTGAGCAGGACCCATATACATGTATGATTATTGACAAACCAACCTTTGGCTGGTAGCTGTACTGCCTCTTAGAATGTCAGATTATGTATACAGCTGTTCTTAACAGCTCAACTTGATAACCATCAAGACTTGGAGGATTTTATTGCAACAATACCAAAGGAAGGACTTGAATGGTGTCTTTCCTTTCCACTTTTACTATATGAGTTGGTGTCTGAGACAACTACTTGTAAAATATTACTTTCCATCTGGTAGTGGTGGCAACAGGTAAGTGTAATCTTTTAGTGTCGGGGGAAGGGAGTGTTACTGGGAATCAAACTCAGGGCCTCATGCTTTCCAGGCAGGTGCTGCACCAATGAGCTACATCCCCAGCCCCCTCTCAGTGTAATCTTTATACTCCAGAGAAACAGTAATGTCATTTCAGTTAAGTAGCAGGTTGCATAAACCCTAATGCTTTTTTTTTGGTAGGATGGCACAATAAATCTTTTGGAATTTCATTCAACACTATAGTTCCTCTTGGGAAGGCATTTTGTACGCAGTCTCTTCCAGTGGGTAGAGTTTTTGGGCATGAACCTACCATAAAGTGTCTGCTGCAACTTCTTTCAGGCAAATGGACTGTATGAAGACCAAAGTTAGCCATAGCAGTGAACCGTGAAAGTGAGTGACAACAACATTTATTGTTTCCTGTGGTGTTGCTTTGGTTTGTTACTGACTGGCAGCACTTGTAGTTTTAAATAAATTGAGGAAGTATAAAAAATAGTAAATGGGAGAAACATTGAGTAAGTCTTTCTTGAAAATGTTTTTTGCTGGAAGAATATTGTGGTAAAATTTTAACTACCTTTTAAAATGAAACATATGATTGGGTCATTGAAATTATCTCTCAAAGCCAGTCTAAATCTGGAAAAGGCAAGCAAAATTACTATATATCAAATTATGAATATAGTAATTAGCATGTTAATTTCAGTTCAGATTTGTGGTTGAGCTTTTTATTATATGTACATACACCCTCTTAGAATGTCAGTGTGATTAATACTTGCATTTTTTAACATTTGAAGATGAAATTTATAATCAGGCTGGAAATTTTTCATTGAAGAAGACTTAATGTTTTGAGCAAATAACACATTCATATGGTTGAAAATTCAAAGTTACCAAAAGGTACAGAGTGAAAGAGACCCTTCTCTCCTCCAGCTGTCCAGTTTTAGTCCCCATGGCAACAAAACTCTTGTGTAGCCTTGCAGAGAAATTATATTTATATACATAAAATATTACCTACTTTAAAAAATACCAATGGTACCATATTCTGCATATGATAACCATCCTGCTCTTTTCACCTTGCACTATGTCTTGGAGAATATTACACAGAGGCCTGGTAATTTTACAATAACTTCATAGGTTTCATGATATGGATTTACTATTATTATGCAGCTGAAACCCTAGTACTACTGAAGATTATTTAAACTGTAGGGTATGTTTTTGTTTTGTTTTTGCTATAACAACACCTTTTGTCAAGTGATTTTCCATATGAACAAGTCTGGGTACTGTGTATGTCGGGGATGTATTCTTAGAATTTGCTAAGTCAAAAGATATGTATCTTTCAAACTTTGTTGGTTTTGTTTTGTTTCCTTTTTGAGTTGAAATCTTTCAGTGTTGCCCAGGCTGGCTTCCAACTCCTGGGCTCAAGTGATCTTCCTACCCCAGCCACCAGAGTATTTGGGACTATTGATATGTGCCATCCTGTCTGGCTTCTTGAAACCTTAATAGGTACCAAATAATTCTCCTGGATGGAAGTCGATATAATTTGCACTCCCACCAATCATAGAGTGCCTGTTTTTTTGTATCTTCACCGTCATATGATGTGTGAATCAAACGTTTTGATCAAATAACAGTATACTTTGAATTTGTTGTTTTCTTGAATGCAGTATGTTTGAGACATGTATATTTTCGTTTCTGTGACCTACATTTTTTTTTTCTCTTACTGAGTTTTAGTCTTACTTTGTAGGAACAGTTTTTTTTTTTTGGTACTGAGTATCGAACTCATGACCTTGCACTTGTGAGGCAGATGGCAGTGCCACTGAGTTAAATCCCTGGGTCTGCAGGAACACTTTTATATGTTAGGGAAATTAACACTGCAAAAATGAGTTCCAGATAGTTTCCCTTTGGACTTAGCTTGTGCTTTTTTTTTTTCTTTTGCAGTATGGGGCTCACGATTCAGATTATCAATCTGAATTTTGTGTCATATGAAAAGATTTTTTGTTGCTTGCGTAGCATTTGTGAGGCCCTGGGTTCAAACCCCACCACAGGGGGAAAAAAAGGATCTTTTGTACTCTGAGCTTACAAACAATTTTCTGGTTTGTCATGTGTAAATCTTTGGTATAGCAGGAATTTATGGTAGTGTAGTATGTGTGGTGTGGATCTAACTTTTTTGTTGTCTAGATGGCCTACTTGGCTGGCTGGAAAACGTTTCACTGGTGTCATTCCTGGATTATCGTCCATATGCACCTGGATCACATTTCTACTTTCCTAGCCCAGTGATCACAACTCAGATGCCTGTGGAAACGAGGCAGGTTACATAAAAGGGTGCAGAGTGCCAGGTGGGGATCATAGCCAACTGAAAATGGGATGGCATACTTTCTCAGAGAGGGCAGCCACTACCTGGCGCCTGCTGATTACTCCATACACAAATGCAATAGTGTTGCCAGATCTTTGTCAAGAGAAGCTGGAAATACAGATTTTATATGGAACGTCTTGACTTTAAAATGGTAACAACCATTTTAAAATTTTAAATAAAGCTTTGTTTAGCTTTGGCTAAACAAAATGTGTCTGCAGGCCAGATTAGGCCCAGAGAAGCCTTCCAATATTCTTGGCTAAAAATAAAGCTTCCCACCAACAATGTTATTCATCTGGGGGAAAGTACGGTACAGTCTAGTAATCTGACAGCCCAGTTAGCTTAAAGATGGGGTATGGGAGCAGGAGAGGAAAGTAAGGACCCTCTCTACATGTCAAAGTCTTTAAAGATTAACTGGGGAAATACAAGCTTTGCATGATTCTACGTTTTATCCCAAGTACCACTGTGATTGTGGATGTGGCCGTTCATTACAGAACATTCTTGGATTAGAAAAATGATCTCCTACGTTTTACAAGTCTGCCGTTGGCGTTTTGCCAAGATGACAAAATGGTGTGTGTTGGGGAAGTAGCTGCGCAGCTTCTGATTATGGAAAAAAAAATTGTGCCACGGGCTTTTTTTTTTTTTTTTCCTCCACCTTCTCCCTTTCCCTTCTTCCCCATGGGTGGCTGGGGACAGACAGTACATGACTGCATTCTTTACAACCTGTCAAAAGTCACGTGCTTGGCATTTTAGTGGGATCCAATTTGTGCTAATGATAGCGTTTCTAGAGTCAATGCTTCTGCAACTCAGAAAAGCTTAGGATCAGAACACCTGTTCTGGGTTGCTAATGAGTATGGCTGAGAACCATGGGCAGATAGAGGAGTTGTAGAATCAGCACCCTCTATTATTTAAAGGGCACGGTTTGGAAAACAATATAAACATATCATCTGAAAGTTTTATTAACGGTGTGATTTTTGTGAATACGCAAGGGGCCTATTCAAGTGAAGGATCTTTAAATTCTAGCTCCATTAGTGTCGTTTTTCTCTCTTTTGGCCCTACAACCATGTACTGACACCACCCTAGGAAATAGTTCCTATCGTCCTATATACAAAGAAACCGTGGAGAGCACAAATACGCGAAATAACGTAGCAGCCCCAGCGCCCTGTTCTCTCCACACCCCTCTTCTGCCTCCCACGACTGCAGCCCTGCTCCTCCAGGCTCAGCAAGAGGCACTGGCTCGGCACCGCCTCGGCGAGGTCGAGAGGAAGGCGTGCGTGTGTTAGAAGCAGCCAGAAAGTTCGGGCTTGTGTCCGCAGCAGCCCTCCGCTAAGTTCCCAGGACAGGAGGACACCCCCATCCAGGCCCCCGCGTCCCGCGCCCGGCCGGCGCCTCAGCCCGCCCCGCGCCGCGCATGCTCCGTGCGGGCTCCGCCGGCGGCTTGGGATAGTGAGCGCCGCGCCGAGGGGGCGGGCCGAGCCGCGACCGCGGGGACCCGGAGCGCGGCGGTGGCCCGGGGGCGCAGCGCGCGGCTGCTGAGGGGCGGTGGAGGCCGGCGCAGTGCGCGCGGGAGTCGGGCTCGCTGCCTCGACGCGCACGCCCGGTCCCCAGGGCCCCGTGGAGGTGACTCGGCCAGGCCGCGCCGGGCGGCGTCGCCTGTCAGGAGGGAGGGGAGGAGGCGATGAAGAGAGCAGCCGCCGCTGCCACTGTCCGCGCGCCGCGACTGTAGCGGGAGTCCGCGCAGGGACGAGGCCGGCGGGACCCCCGGCGAGCTGCGGGCGCGGACAAAGAGGAGGAGCCGCCCGCCGAGGGGCTCGCCGCGCTTCTCCCGCGGGCGCTGCTCGAGGCCAGAGCCGCCTGGGCCGAGGAAGCCGCTCCGGGCCCGCGCCCGTCCGCCCGCCCGCCGGTGCCGCTCCCAGCCGCCTCGGCCGTGGCTGCGGCCCGGGCCAGGCGGGGAGGCGGCGGCCGCGGGCGAGGCGAGGCGGCCCGCGCCCTGCGCGTCAGGCCCGCGGCCCCTGATGCGGAGGCACTGCGGCCGGGGCCATGCAGCAGGCGCCGCAGCCGTATGAGTTCTTCAGCGAGGAAAACAGCTCGAAATGGCGGGGACTGCTGGTCTCGGCCCTGCGGAAGGTCAGTGCCTGGGCGGCCAGCCCCGGGGGGAGATCGGGGTGCCCGGCCCGCCGCGGCGGAGTTGTAACCCGAGCCGCCCCGTCCTCCCCGCGCTCGGGTCCCCGGGGTCCAGCCGTTGCTGTTCGGGACTCGTCATTGCCTGTTGCATCTTGAAGGACGTTTGCTCAAGTTGGTTTTTTTCTTTTGGTCCGGTCCCGGAAGGAAGGTTTTGTTATGATCATAAAACTGGATTTCATGTTGCAGGCAGGCAACTTCCGTCGTTGACCAATTTGTTGTCCTTAGGCCGGATTCGGGCAAGAGAAAGTCCCACCGATGCTAAACAGTATCGCAAACAAAAGCACACTTTCAGGTCAGGGAATTACTTTTTAATTAAGTTCTTTGCCCACCCCCCAGGCAATTTGCTTGTCAGGGTTGTCCACTCACGCGTGAGACAATGCTTTTTTCTAATATGGATGTGTTTCACATGTGTGAAATGCCAGTGAGTCATAATTCTCATTTTTCAGTTCTTGAGGTAAATCTAAACCACCTCCCTACTCCCTGTGAAAGATGTCTCACCTGAATACAAGAGATTTCCCTTACATAATTTGGTCAGTTTTCTTCTTCCCAGAGTTCGATTTAGAGCCTGAAATCACTTCAAGGAACAAAAAAGGAGCAGCTTATACAAATCAGGCCTTCCAAGTTTGGGTGCGTTGCTAGGGTGCATCTGTCCTGTACATGGTGTCAGTCTCCTTCCCTGAATTTAGGGAATAATTATACTGTCATTTTTTGCAATAGATTCTTTTTGTAAGGTCAAGAGAAATTTAAAGATCTACGTGGGTTCAAGTTTAGCTAATCAAGCCTTTGCCATTGATGCAAACTTAGTCTCTTTTGCCTTTTGTGCAAAATATCCAAGAATAAATTTTAATTTAGTAAAGAAACAATTTGGAAGACTGCATTTGGAAAATAATTTTTCATATAGTAGTGTCTTTTAAAAGTTCAAACCTTTCTCTCATGCATTCCAGAATTTCAGATTTTCTATTTTCCTAATTCTTACTGGGAGACATTGCTTCCCTTGGGACAAACACCAAGTCATATCTTTAAAGAACTTGATGGAATTGACTGTCATTTCACTGGTGTACCAGCTTCCAGAGTATTAAATCGACCTTCCTTCCGTGTGTAGCCCAATCCTCTAAGGAGAAAGAACAAAATGGAAAGTGTGTGGTGATAATGAACTCTGGCCTGAATTAAGAGTGAAGGGGGAAATGCTTAGATAGTAATTAGGCTTTCTACCACACAGAAGTGTGAGTGCAGTTACCAGGTAGGTCTGTACTTGTATTGTTGGTGATGTGGTGCAAGTATATATGTGCCCATTATACTTTTTGGTAGCAAATAGCATTTAAGTATAGGTAACTTTGACCCTAATAACCCTTTGTATGTAGAGACAGATTTGGTTTTCTAGGCTAGGTTAGAAACAAAACCAGGACTAGCATCCAATCCTAGTCCATTGCTTTGGTCCTCTTACTTTGTATTCATACATTGTGCTTGTCAGGTGTCATAAATAACTGTACTGTATTCCACAGTTGTGGTGTATCCTTTACTAATGAAATAAATGCATGTCAGAAAATTTGGTCTTTGTGGTGAACTTAAAAAGCAAATTGTATTAATTTATTGCCTTGCTGTTATAGAATTGAGGTACATTCCCATGGAAAACTTTTTTTTTGGGTACCGGGGATCGAACTCGAGTCCTTGTACTTGTGTGGCAGGTGGTGGAACCACTGAGCTAAATCCCCAGCATGGAAAACTTTTTTTAAAAATATTTTTGGAAAATTTTTGGTGAAAGCCATTTGGACTATATCTAGTTTTGTGATATTTGCAACATGTAGGATTGTAGTGCCTGATAAAAGTTACAGCATTTAGATGCTCAAAATTCACTCTTTGCAGGAAGTTTTAAATTCTCTGTGGTGACGGACCTATGGCACACATGCTACAGCCAGCTGTTTGTCATCATTGAAATCTCTAAAAGGTTCACCTTCACTGGTATATATCAACCATATCTTTGTACAATTAAGAGTTTCTACCATTTCTGGGGCAACTACATCAAAATATCTAGGGCTAAGGCTGTAGCTTAGTGGTAGAGCTCTCGCCTAGCATCCGTGAGGCTCTAGATTTCATCCTCAGCAATGAAAAAAAAAATCTAGAACTTGACCTCCCTTCTCCAGCTGATGATATAGTTAGTTACAAAGACTGCTAGGATTTGACTGTAATATTTCTCTCCTCCAGTTGGTGTTGCCATTGAACAGATGATGCATTCTAACTTTCTGCATTCATTTAACATTTATTGAATACATTTTAGGTCATGGCACCATGCTGGACCCTAAGAATATAAAGATGAATTTTTTTTTAAAAAGGCCTGCTCTAAAAGGTATTTACCATCTAGACCAGTGGTAGCAAACCTATGGCACACGTGTTATTTGCTTTTCTTTTAAGACATAAGATGTTAATATAGAGTTGTTTTTTTTCTTTCCTTCTTTTTTTTTTTTTTGTACTGGGGATTGAACTCAGGACCTTGCGCTTGCCAGGCAGGCACGGTGCCACTGAGCTAAATCCCTGACCCTAGAGTTGTTTTTTTCTAAACTAAAACCTCAGTATTTAGGTTTAATTACAGTGTTGGTACTTTGAGATAAATAAGTGGGCCTTGGGTTGCAGTTGGGCACTCAATCTCTAAAAGGTTCCCCATCACTGCTAGACCAAAAATTCTAAAGTTTTGAGTTTTGGTTTATGTAAATGAGATAGCAGTTCTGAGCTCAGATTTCTTTAGCAGAATACCTGTGTATGTGTGAAAGGAGCAATGTAGTTTAATTGGTTGTTAGGTCAGCCCACCTCTGCATGGTGGCAGAACCTTCAAAACTGCTAAAATAAAATTTTCAGAAAGGTAAAATCATGACTTTTGGTGTAAATGTGTTGATGAGGTCATCATGTGTCAATAATTTCAACTCATTTAATGAGGGATTTAGTAGTATATTAAAGGCTACTCATATTTACATTGGATTACTTACAGACCATTTAATAAAGAAAAGTTAAAGTTATGGATTAGATACAGGATTAGCATCCGGCAAGAGCACAAAAGATTAAGTTTTGGGTTATCTTTTCCACTAGATAGAAATTATTTACATCTCTACCAGCCAAAATTCTGTAAGTAAACTTTACAGATTTGTAAAATAGCCTAGTCAATTAAGTGATTGAAGGTTCAAGCAGAGTAGTGCACTGAAAACAGTATTCTTTTGCTTGGTTTCAAGTTTTGGCTGATTTCTGTGAAGGTTGAATGTGTGTGTGAAGGGGCAAAATCACCAGTGTTGACATTGAAAAGGCAAGAAGTGATCACTTCTGCAATCCATACACTAAAGTTGGAATGCCAGAAGATTAGCATTAGCCCTGTGCAAGGATGAGCAAATTTGTAAAATATTCCATTTAAGAAAAAGAAATCCCAGCACTTGGGAGGCTGAGGCAGACTCTCTCAAAAAATAAAATAAAAAGGAAAGAATTGCGGTGTTCCTTAGCTTTTTGTTTGTTTGCTCTTTACCTTTTATTTTCTTTTCTTGTGCTGGGCATCACTGATCTACACTCCCAGTTTCTTTAACTTTTAAAACAAAACCTCACTCAGAGCATCTAAAAACACATAGAGAGCTACAAAGTGACATGACACTACTAATGGATAATACATGGATTGTTAGCATTACTGCTAAATTATGTATCTTCCCTAAAAGAGCCAACAACTTAAATGCTTTCACTCCTACTCTCCAAGAACATTGAAGTTCTCATATTACTTGGGGAAAAAAAGAGCATCGGGTATATTTGTAAATGTAGTTTATTACCTTTGTCTTTGAAATGCCTTCTGTGCTTTGTGTGCTACTTGATTGTATCTGAGATAAATCCTCATTCTTCATATGGGAGATGTGCTTTAAAATCATTTTATCAGATTTTTCAGGCTCTTATATTTCCTTTGTAGATACTAAAAAAAACCCATGTTCCTTACCAGGCTAGCCATGAATGTCAGAGAGCAATAGAATTGGTTGAATTCCTGGGTCTAATTTGATTTGGGTTAGATACCAGCCTCCTCGCCCTGTGACAGTGTGCTGCTAGATATCTGTGTAAAAGGCAAGGAATGTGAGAGAAGGTCTGGGTTAATTAATGGCAGGTATAGCAAGGAAAAAGAAGTTACGGACTTTGAGAAATGTTCTTGTGAAATTTGAAATCTGGAAGATTCTAGTGTTTCTTCCTTGGAAGTTTGTTTTAGAATACTGTAAAAGTATAGAATGATTGGAAGATATATTACTAAGTATCTCCTATGTGCTGGGCACTATTCCTAATGAAGCTTGCATTCAAAATGACTGTGGCAGAGAGGCCTGGGAAGACAAAGTCATAATTATCTGAAAGATCGATAAGTATTAACAAAACGAAGGGGGAGAAGAGATTTGAGGCAGAGGGAAAAGTAGGAATCTGACTTGTTTTAAAGAGTTGGAGAATAAGATGAGGTCAGTATGGTAAACTATATATGTAGACCTAGGACTAGAAAGTTGTGTAAGGTTTTCACTTATGTACCAAAGCAGTTAGATTACCTCGATCAAAGTTGCTTTTTGAAAAGATCACACCAGGTGAAAGCCAGAAACTAATAGAGATCTTGTGATTTTTATGACATGAGGCTTGCTCTGAATTTCCTATAGCCACTAAATATAACAATAGATCGCAAGGGAATCATTTGGAATTATTCCAAACAAGTAATGACCCAAACTGACCCAAGGGGTTCAGACAGAACTGGATGAGCATTAGAACTGCATTTTAACTTGCTGCATTTAGCTCTGTCAGTTGTGATTTATTAGCCTTTTTCTATTTTCAGTTTAATTTTGGTATGGTATATTTGGAGCAATAGTATTCCATTAAAGTGTTTTATGTTGAGTATCCAAAGCATTACCTGAGTTACCACTTGACATAAATCAAATATATGTCTTTTATATTAACCATGG